TGTCTTATCCGCCATCCGTCTGTCTAACTATAAAAGTGTTAGCATAAAGTGCATGTTGATTGGTCCTTCCCCAGACTAGTCATTTCTCTCTATCCCTATATCACCTCCCTCTTCGAAGGAATGTTATTTGGGGTCACGATGGGCCGCACTATCTTTTTCCTGAACCTATCTGACTGACGCAGATGGAGTTTCTTCTTGTTTAATGGGGGATCAGTAGTCTCGATATTCTTTCGATGGGTAGGTGCATGACCATGAAAACCAGCTATCAAGCCAAGAGATTTACCTACCAATCGAGAATGAGATCTGCCGCGGTATCTGGAGGATGACCTTTGTACACGTTGTTGTGCATGTTCACGGCAAAAACGTCTTCATGGCCTGCAGCATTACAGTTCCGGCATCGATGTTGTTTAAGTGGACACGATTTGACGGAAAGCCGTATACCACAATGCCAGCAAGGCGAAAGGGGTGTCATCTTCGAGGGTCGGTTGGTATCGAATAAGTTACTGAGCCAATGAACCGGCGAGGTAAGGCCAGAGGGTGGTGCAGAGGAATAAGATGTCTAGTAAACTGTATGTACTTCAGAACCACCCTGTCGTCCGGATTGGGCCAAACTCGTATCACGCTGCAGGTTACCCAGTCGTTGATATTCTACAGATATGTCATTTAGTGTTTAGGCTATGGCGTCGAAAGCATGATCACGTGGGTTCTGCGGCGAAATCATGTCGCATTATTAGTGTAGCTTAGGTGGATCGAGCTTTCAAAGTAGGAGACGTAGCTTCCAGAAATCATCTTGACCAGCAAAATCCACTTTGAAGTAGTTTTTGTAACTCCTGAACCAACTGTCGAAAGTCTGATTGGGATCACGATCATAGTGAAATTCAGTCATTGTATTGGTGATGCCATCAACTGAAAGAGCTGTTGAAACGCGTAGTAGGCAATGATTCAGTACGAGAAATTTTGAATTGTGTAATTATCTCGATTATCCTCATTTGTTATTCGAGGGAATTGTCCAACTTCGAAGAATCTACTTCCCAATATCCTATCCCCGTTGCCACTGTTATGTTTTGGAAACTGCTATGTACTATGGTCGCTAATGATGCACAGATATCGACTATCACTCACCAACGTTCAACAAATTCCTAGTTGATTCCCGACCTGACTAATTAATGGAGAAGACATAATGGGCATGTAGAAACATGTACTGGGACCGAAAGACCGAAGGGCAGAACGGAAAATACAGCTTATAGCTATAAAATTACTGATTATTAGAAGTAATCATCTTGGGCGTCCGAGGGTGACATGGAGGAGATCGTGCGAGGAGGAAATGAGAGCTTCTGGGCTGTCGTGGAGCCAGGTTCAAAAGATTTCAGAGAACAGAGCGCATTGAAGACGTGCTACTGAAGCCCTATGTTCCATTAGGAACCCAAGGGAGAAATAATAATAATAATAAGTAATCATTGTTCGATATGTTGTACATGGTGTAGCGTGACTGAGTGAGACGAAATTTATTTATCGATCGCTTGTGCTCAAATTAGGGTCATCCACAAAATTCATACTGGTTCATAATCATGAAGACTGACAAATTAGTCGTATCCTGTCATGTAAATGGGAAATGTGTTTCTTCTATGCAGATGAAAATAATTTAAGTGATAATAAACCAATAATCAATAGTGAAATCGATCACTGAACAGTCAGAGATCTTCAACCTACGAATATGAGTTCTTCCAACTCTTAATGTATACTGACCGTCACTTTTGTGTTTTTCTCTCCCGAATATTTGATAAAATTGATCAAAGATGAGATATTATATACTTCTTGACTTTTGTGAGTCGAATAAAAAAGGTTGGTTACATACATTGACTGATCATTGGAAAGCAACCAATCTCATGTTGAATTTTAGGGGTTTATGGGGATTTAGAGATATTTCAAGTTGGTATTCATCGTAGGCTGATACCAGTTGGAGGAACAATGGAAACCTGGTAGGACTGGACAGCTGTTTCATCCTAGTATGGGACTCTTCAACAGCGCGCACCGACGACCCCACCCTTCGGGGATCGAACCCGCGACCTTCGAGTTCCGTGGCTAGCACGTTACCATTGAGCTAGCCACTGGGTCGGAATCCAGTGGTTCATTTTCCAACCAGTAGGGCAAACCTGGTGGCTGCGAGGACAAATACTCAACGATGACATTGGGTGGCTGTCGCACTATGTCGTCAAGTAATACAAGTTGGAAATATGGATCATTGGATTCCGACCCAGTGGCTAGCTCAATGGTAACGTGCTGGCCACGGAACTTGAAGGTCGCGGGTTCGATCCCCGAAGGGTGGGGTGCGCACTGCTGAAGAGTCTTATACTAGGATGAAACGGCTGTCCAGTCCTACCAGGTTTCCATTGTTCCTTCAATCGATGTCAATCTAGGATGAATATCAACTTGAAACAATCTCATGTTGCCTAGTCCTGAATGCAGACCTAATTGTCACGATTATTTTGCATTGTTGCCATCATTAGCATCAATCAAAGTGGACCGCTATGGTGCACCTCTTAGCTTGTTGGCCACATTGTAAAATAGTCGATAAAATTCTATCTGCACTCAGGACTAAACAACATGAGATTGCTACTCTCCAGTGACTGTATGTAACCCAGTCCTACAGGAGGTCAATCGCGGCCCGGATAGTTAAGTGGTAACGTCCCTGACCATAACACTGTTTGACGTGGGTTCGAATCCCTCGATGTTGTAAATACGCCTTACAGACGAGTGAAAGCAAGTACGAAACCTAGGTCTAGGACATCCTGTCGATTGCCGCCAACCAACTAACAGGTTGGTCACGTCAATTTTCATATCGTCGCTTCATCAGCTGAATGGACGAGCTTGGCTGTTTGTAAATGTGTCTGAATTCTGTCCAGTTATCTGAACGTAACTGTTTTCCATACCTGCTTGTGGGTGGTAAAGTTGTCTAACTTAATATAAACAGTAAATCAGGTTAGTAAAGTAGCTGTTTTTGAGGCTAAGCATTTATATCAGCATTGAACTCAACTATACTACAATGGTTGAAGTAATCTTTCGGTATTGTTCTGTTCGAATAAGCGTCCTTATCAGTAAGCTTGTTAAAGCCTTAAATAGTTTTCGATGCAAATTTAATATGAGTATAAAACTTCGGCACTGTGGTAGAATATAATTCCATATTAGATTTGTTTATTTGACCATAGCCAGCACACAGTGAAAAGTATGATTTACTGGATGACGTTTGCAGAGTAAATTGGTGCGCATAATTATATTACACTACTTTCAATATCCCATTTTTATAATCTTTTTCTCCTCATGTTCTTTGTTTTCATCGGTAGTAAAGTTCTCCATATCTTCGGTATAGAGATATGTGGTGTGATTCCTATTACATGTGTTGGATGTTGGCTGATTCGATAAACAAAGATTTAGTAATTTCTCGCTGCAGTTTATTAAGAAATTCATACGAACACACAAGAAACGTAATAATTACAGTAATACAAGTACGAATAATAATGATAACACGAGTAAAAATGAGTTCATGCCTTCTATTGTGTTACCAAATAAGGAAGGAACATCAGGTGGATGACGTAAAGGTTGATTTATATCAAAAAGGGTTACGTAAGATTTATAAATCGTTTATAAGGTGCGTATAGATTACAACAGGGGTGAAAATGTGACAGAGTCAATAAACAATCAAAAGATAAGTTAATATAAATAAGACAACAAATTAATGGGAATAAATCGAAAGTGTTTTTTTTGCTAAAAGTTGTCATTATTAAGAAAATCAAATGAAATCACACCAGAGACAATTAAAAATACCAGTTCACCTGTTCCTGTGGAGCAAGTTACATCGACTGTAGTCAGAGATTTCTGTCAACATGTATACGAGAACATATTCCAGTCTGATTTTATAAAGGCGAAAGGAGTTGCATATGGAGTTCTATCCTTGAACATTTAATTGATTCCAATCATACAACCGACTGATGACAATAAATGATTTTAAGGTTGTTTATCAAATTGGCTCAAATGCCTCGCGTTTCCTCCATATTCAGTTCCTAAAGACACCAGAGGTCTTAGCTGTCCATGAACTTGAAGTACCTACGGTCTTTGTTTCTACCTTGACCTCAACTTATTTCGGTGTTGGTGTGCTTCGTTCCTTTTTCGTTTTTCCAACCTCCTCACTTTTTTCAGATTTAATCTTTGTACTCTTATATCGTCATTATCACTTCATTTTTATATTTAATTGTTTCCGTTATGAGGAAGGAGCATCACAAACTTTATATAGGATACTCAACAAGGTTAGGGGTTAGGGTGGCATTTAAGCCTATAAACTCACTCAGAGATAAGGTTTGTCGGCTGGTTTAAGGATCCGATACAACCAATTCAGCAAAATAATCTGATCTATCATATTTCCATGCAATGACTGTGAAGTCAAGTAATTAGGTGAGACTATCCGGTCGGGGTCAATTAGATTAGTGGATCACAGAGATTAAGCTAAATGTAGAATAACAGACCCCAATGGTATCAGTAATCTAGAAAGGAACTAGGCTATCGTAATGCATGCATTAACACACAATAGGGTGGGATGAAACCACTCTGCTTAACTCCGATATCATTAGGTGGAGAGAGAGAGACGGGGATTGTTTACTAAATCTTTGTTCATCGAATCAGCCAACATGCAACACGTTGACCAGAGATGTGAAAAATTTTACTGTCAATAAAAACAAAGGATATGAGGTGAGTGATAGGCCTATAAAAACCAAATATCGAAAGTAGTATGATCATATCGATATGATTATGCTCAATAATTTGTGCTGGAAACGTCATCCAGTAAATAATACTGTATGTTATCTACATCAATGAACAAATCCCATATGGGATTGCAACTCTATACTTTTATGTCAGATCGTATGCCTAAGTTGGTTTGAAACCAAACAACTTGTGGGTTATTTGTTATTCCTAGAATGCTGTTTTATTATTTGTATTATTATTTGTAGTGTATCTTCCTGATTTTCTGTATGGCGCCTATCTCACAAAATGGATCTTTACTCATCTATAGACGTATGATACGACCACTTTTTCTTGAACATTCAGCAACAATTGACTCAGTGTTGAATACTACAGCTAATATTGCTGGGAATGTCGTGGAAAATGGTATGTATAACTTGTATGCTTTTGTTCTTCTAGTTTTCAGCCTAGTAATTTTAATTTTCAAAATAAGGTCAGGTTATGCCACACGTTACCTAAATTTGTAATTATTCTAAATCTTTTACATTTCTTTTGTTGTTGTTTAGTGAGTCGAATGTCATAGAAATGCGTTTACTAATGATGGATAATTTGGCATTTCGTCAGCTATATGTACCTACCTCCTAGTGAGCAATGGTGTCCTCACCAGGACTCGAACCTTGGGTGGATAGCTTCAAACGCTAGAGTACTACGCACGAGACTACGGAGTCATGATAGCCACTTCTTGTGCGATGGGCACAGTTTCATATGCTGTCGTTCATATTATCCTATCGTTGATTAGACCGGTCGGTGCTCCTGTGCGGATACCTCGATACCGCCTGTCGTTTCAATTTTGTTAATAATGGTAGATAGTGGCTAGCAGAGGAATTCATGTTTCGGGTTCGAGTCTTAGTGGGAACAACGCCGCTCACTGGGAGGGCAGGTACATCCAACTGATGAATGCCAAATAGGAAGAAATGCGCATCAAGCTAGATTCCACTGCCAGTCACCATCCATGAATAATATGGAATTGAAACAATAGGCAATATCGAGGCATCCACACAGCAGCCCATATGCCAATTGGAACCGACCAACAAAGGGATAATACAAGCACCAACATGCTAATGTATTTTGGAGCAGTGGGAATCACTGATTACTTTGGGCCCCAGGTTTGAACTTCTACCCGTCCACTTAGATAAGAACCAACAAGTAGTAGTTGTATGTGGCTTGTTACACAAGAATGCATACATGAGGCTACTGGTTCGTGTCTAAACCTTGAAATTGGGCCGTTACACGCAGTGTGTAAAGTCCCATGTGAAATTTTGGAAAAAACTGGTTTTTTCCCGCCAGCATGCTTTCATGCATACACTCATATGAATGTGTGGGTAGGTGAATGGGGTACTAGCTTTTGAAACCTTCAAGAATCAAATTGTGTTGTGAATGAGATTATGAGTTTAATTTTTACAATCAAAAGGGAATATTTTGTTATACTGGATCGAATTGTTCGACCTCTGTTGGCATATATGCTCGTATACGGATGCCTCGATAGCACCTAAATATTTATTATGATAACTGACTTGGTTGTGGCTAGCAGAGGAGTCCAGGACGCTTATTTCGTCCCATTTTGGACTCGTCAGCTGGATGTGCAAGTAGATTAACGAATAGTGGTAATTCAAACCAGTTGTACAATAGATAGGCATCGTGCCTCGCTAGCCTAGTGGACAACGCTTTGACGTCTGAAGCGATGTTTACGAGGTTCGAGTTCAGCTGACGAGTCCCAAGTAGGACGAAACGTGCATCCTACATTCCTCTGCGAACCACAAATAAGTAAAGGTGAATACAGGTTCAAACTATAGGTGCCTATGCAAATCATAATGTTGAATGGACCAAACTGATCGGTCTCTATTAGCCCCTGTGCGGATGCCTCGATATTACCTGTGCTCTAATGATAATAATGATGGATAGGGGCTAGCAATGGAATCCATGATGCGCATTTCATCCTATTTGGCGTTTGAAGCGATCTCTTCTGAGTTCGAATCGCTGTGGTAACAACATCACTCACCAGGAACCAGATACATCCAGCTAACGAGTCCTATATAGGACAAAATGTGCATCCTGGATTCCACTGCTTACCACTATCTATCATTACTGCTATCTATTAGTTAAAAAGCAGAGATGTTTTCAGTAATCTTATGCTACTAGACTTACATTATGAGATATTGCCAGTGTTGAAAATTTAGCCAGTTCAAAGGTGAATTCAACTAAGTAGGTTTTACACAAGTTTTTATATTTTGTTAGGTTCGATGGTAGAATCGAACTTGATTGGCTGTCTGAGTGACGTTGAACTCTTCATTGTACCATCGAATCAATAAGTATTTAGTTTTGTATTATTTCAGTATACATTTATTGAAATGAGAAGAAATTAAATATTCTATAATAGTTTTGTGCTACTTTTCAAGTCTGTAAGGTTCTCTATGTACGTTTTACTCCCTGGAGTTGAAGAAATTGAGAATAAGAAACAAGTAATTTATTTCAGACTGGGACTTATCATAGACTGATGACAGCTGGAAATTCAAGTAGACTGGACTGCTAGTTTGTTCTAGTATGAAACGTCTCTGCAGTGGGGACCCGTGGCTCCACCCTGCTGGGGGTCGAACCCAGAGGATATGGATGGTTGGATTTTGACCCAATGTCTTAACCAATGGTGATCGCAGAAACTGAAGATCCTCAGTTCGACCCCTGGCAGGGCAGAGTTATGGGCGCGCACTGCTAAGGAGTTTCATATTAGGATGAAATAACTGTCCGGTTCTCCTAGGCCTCAAATGTTTCTCCAACTGATATCAGTCCATGGTAAATACCAACTTGAAGTCAATAAATAAATCCCTACAAACCTCAAAGTTCACGTAATTTATATTGTTTGTCAATGTGGTATCAACTAAAATGTCCCATTTATAAGTTTAATTAGATTAAAAGTCCCCTTTGACCCATAACACAGCAAAATGCTAGCGAGTATGACTTATTTTCAGCATTCAAATATGGCTCTAAATCGTAGCGAAAATCGCCTTATTTTACGTATAAAAAAGAAACAACAAGAGTTGCTAAACATCCAACAATTATTATTGTCATTATTATTTGTCTTTTGAGTTCCTAGTGGAACATAGGGCTTCAGTAGCACTTCGCTATTTCACTCTCTTCTCTCCAGTCTTTTCAACCTGGCTTCATGACTACCAAGAAGCTTTCATTTCTTCACGCGATCTCCTCCATGTCAACCACAGCTGGGACGCTCAACTCGTCGTTTCCCATTTAGCTTCTCAAATGGTCTTCTCAGTGTATGTCTAATCCAATCCATCTCCACTTTCTTCTGGATGTTTGTTGGGCAATAGGTTCTTGGCTGACTCGTTCCCGGAATTCCTTGTTGCTTATTCTTTCTGGCCATCTGATCTCCAGTATCTAGCAAGCGTGGACGGTAGCTGTTGATGTATGTCTGCAGTTTGTTGGGAATCCTTTTGGTAACACACCAAATCTCTGTACCATCACATACAAGCACTGACTTGACTGGATTGGTGTTGAAAATCCGCATCTTGTTCACGCTTTATGCTGAGTGCAGTGCAGGGCAGCAGGTCTTCACACTGATTTCAGATTAATGAAGGAAGGCCTGTCTTGCTATCTTTCCGATCATGGCTGGCTTTGGCATTGTGATCTGTGCCTGTGCCGCTGCCTGTAGTTGGAACAATGCTGCTCTGCCTACGTAGAGAGGTAGGTGAAAGAGACAACTTCATTTAGATTTCTCCCATTGATGGTGATTGGTGCTTGTTATTAATGCTGCGGTTGTTGGGTGGGTATCTTCATCACCTCTGTCTTCTCTACGTTCACCTGAAGAGAGTCCCGTCTTCACTGCTCTACCTCTTTTGTCAATTTGTCAGTTTTCACTTGTGGATCTTCGAGTTTGTGCGATATAAGACATTAGACATAAATCATCATCGACGAAATCCAAATGTTCTAGGGTCCTTTCATCGGTCGAAAAGCGTACGCCCATCTTCTCGCTCCTCACAGTTATTTGTTGCATGATCCAGTCGACCACAATCAGGAATATCATGGGGGATAGTAGGCAACCTTGTTTCACTCCTGTCTTCACTTCAAAAGCATCACTGAGCTTCCCATTGTGAATTACTTGACATGTGGCATCTTCATATAGTTGTTGAATGAGGCTGATAAAGGTTTATGTCACTAAAACCGTAGTGTTGAAGCAGTTGCCTGCGAAAATACTTGTCGGTCGACGCCTCGATCGAAGGCCTTTTCAAAGTCGATGAAGTTGAGGTAGTGTTGAGTTGACTGCCATTCTCTACTCTGTTCTATGATGATGCGTAGAGTGGCGTTGCAAGTTGGTCCACACATGATTTGTACTTCCTGAAGACAGCCTACCTGTTCCGGTCGTAATGCAGTTGAATCCAGTGCATCGTTTAGTCTCTCCAGGATGATGCGGCTTAATATTTTGCTTGCTTTTGGTGGACAGGAGAGTGATTCCTCGCCAGTTCTTGCAAACACTGAGGTCTCCCTAAACACCCAGCAATAATCAGCGAATAATCGACTCATTTCAAGGTCGTCACAATTTTTTGATTGTGCTGGGATTAATCAATAATCCGACTAGTTGAGTCTAGTGTATCCACCGCTCAACTTTGCAACTACAAACTGTTTGAAGACACCATGTGTCGTTGAGATGACCTGGATACATTTCCCAGGGTAATAATCCTTATGTAAAAATGATGAAGGAAACGCTTAAAGGGATTGTCATTTCATGCATCTTCAGTGTTAGAAGCATATTCTTCACCGCCACCATTCCCACCTAACTTTATCATATACATGCTGTTGTATATAGCCCCAAGTAGGCATGAATTTACATGGACCGACTTGCTACTAGAAGAAAAGTTGACTGACTGATCGGCTATTACGCGCAGACAACATTCTCTTGTTAGGCGAAACTGCTGACAAAATGCAGTCTTCTGAACGCCTTAAGGAAAAATTTTATTACGTTTGGCATGGATTTCGCACTTGTCATATATAAGATGATGCTTCAAGACTGGTGTGTACCGACTCCCGGGGAAAGTGGTAAAATACATTGAACACTTCACTTACTTCAGTCAAAAGAAGTATAAAGTACGAAAAGAGAGAAAGGAAGAATGAGAAAATGGTGAGATTCGGTATAGCGTCTTTAAGATGAGGATAATGTGTGTTTATACATCTGCGTCATCGACACCGGTTCTGAATCATATCAACCAGGGTCTTCAACCACTGGTTTCTCTTGTCCTGCGGACCCCAACCGGTTAGTCTGCATCGCCACACACGGCTCAAACCAACAGTCAACGACTTCATACATTGATGCCATGTTTTAGTTTGGCCACCTTGAGCCTTCTGCAGCCTGAACCTACTTC